CATCTGGCTTTCATTGCTTTGCTTCTCTCCCCTCCTCCACACACGTTTACCAAATCTTTTCAACACACAGTGACCAAGCTATTGAGCAGTTATAATTAAGAACACAGCCATGGCACACTCTTTCTTCCTTTTGGTAGTGCTCAGTGGTTTATCATGAGCTGTTCATGCCATAGCAGTTATAACCAAGGGTGATTATATCTGATTAAAAGATGACTGCCTTTGTATTTTGGGCGGGGGAAGGAAACGTTTTTAGACATGGGTCAATTTTGCTGTCAAGAAGAGTGAAGACATCACTGGACATTAATTCTTCAGACTATGTTTAGAACAATTTAAAATATAAACATAGCAAGCAGAAGAAATGTGTGTTTTTCTCTCTCAAAGAATCGCTCTCCCAGTGCAGTGGGAGGGGAAAACTTTATTTTTAACTGATGAGCTATTCTGAATCTACTACTGGATAGATCTATTCTATCTTCACTAATCAATTGCTTACAGCTTGATTCTGCACTCCTGTTACACCTGATTTTCACTGATGTGTGATCAGAATTATGCCCTGGGTGTATCTCTGTTGTGTGCACTCAGAAATAACAAATAAGGATACCTTAGTCTAAGGACAGGCCATTCTATTCTGTTAATTTCTAATACACCAAAAACCACAGTATGGAGGCACCAAGTTCAAAAATAAGAACTGCCAGTGTCCTCTACATTCCACCATTCCTTGTTTCAACAGCTATTATTTATGGGGAGGTTTTGTTTAGCTGTATCCAAGAGAAAAGTCATTGGGCTTTTCTTCTGCCATTTTTCTTGAAGGAAAAACTTCCTCACAACAAAATCCAAAACCACGGGACACTCAGCTGCTTTGAGGTTTGAACAAGGAAACAAAACCAGTCAAGTTTTGTGTGAAACTTCTCTGGGTTCTGAAAATCTTCTGTCTAAACTCAAAACAAAACTTTTTGTTGACTCCATATAGCTGTGAATTTTTGAAAACTTGAGTTTTGTGGTTTGGTTTTGGTTCCTCACCAATAGATGTATTCACAGTGTAAAGATTCTAAGATAGCAGGCCAGATTTACAAAGTTCTTTAGGCACCTAAAAATGAGGTGCCTGGTAGTATTTACAAAAGCAGCTAAAGCAGGGCAAGTGCCTCATTCTATTGGGAGTTAGGGGCCTAACTCACTTAGGTGCTCTTATAAATCCCATAAGTCTGCAGTCCTTCAGCCTACTCTCCTGATCCTGACTTAAAGGGAAAAAAGTTGTCACACAGTAAAGATCCCTTCCCCGGGCTATCTCAACTGCCCAAGAAAAATGATGGAATAAAATGATGGAATAACAAATAGAGCGAAAGCCATTCTTTTCAATTCCTCCTGTGGTAAGTAATTTTCTGTTTTGAGAGGGTCTTCTTTAAAAAATGGCCAATCATAAAAATCTTCTAGAATTTCATTGTCCACTATTCTTGCACATACGGTATGTAACAAATAAAGCTGGTTGTTGCCCTGGAAAGGCTTGTTTTTAAGCCTTATGCCTGGCTGGAATAACCCTTCGAGAAGCTATGGAGATTGCCATTGGTAACCCGAGAGTGTCTGTAGCAGAGGTAAAGCCCTTAAGCCTACAAATGTTCTCACTCTTAAACCAACAGGAAGTTCTTAAAGTGGATTAGACTCAAAATGTAACCATGTTTTGTCCCTTTGCTGGCTGAATCTCCACTGAAGCAGTTTCTCCTGACTGCCTAAATAAAAAGGGAGGGAATTCTCATTTTATAGGGCAGGGATTCTCAGAGTTTTTCACAGTGTGAACTACAGTCTAGTATCTTAAGGGCCACCTGCCACCCCATTTGCTATGTCCAGTGGACTCCCTCTCTTCTTATTCACAATAAACACAATTACAGCAGTCACTTACATGGCACAGTCATATTAGGAAAGAATTTAATACATTTTTAGCTTCTTTTAATGTAGTTTAGCAGCTGGAAACAAGGAGGAAGAGCCAGCACCACGAGACGAGCCAGCTTTCCCCATAATTCATCAGCAAGAATACTGGGAATCATGGATTTCGGTTTGGGAACCTCTGCCACGAGGCCTCAAAGCACTAGAGGTGAAATCCTGTCCCCAGTGAGGTCAATAGGAATGCTCCCATTGACTTCAGTGGGGCCAGGATTTTACTCTAGATCGGAGTCGGCAACTTTTCAGAAGTGGTGTGCCGAGTCTTCATTTATTCACTCTAATTTAAGGTTTCGCATGCCAGTCATACATTTTAACATTTTTAGAAGGTCTCTTTCTATAAGTCTATAATATATAACTAAACTATTGTTGTATGTGAAGTAAATAAGGTTTTTAAAATGTTTAAGAAGCTTCATTTAAATTTAAAATGCAGAGCCCCCCGGACTGGTGGCCAGGACCCGGGCAGTGTGAGTGCCACTGAAAATCAGCTCGCGTTCTGCCTTTGGCACATGTGCCATAGGTTGCCTACCCCTGCTCTACATTGCCATCAGAATTCCTGGATCAAGATTTCTTGAGTTAAGATTCTGAAGGATCTCTCATTAGGATGATAGGATTAAAAAGCAAACAAACCTTTTTGTTGTCATGTGTGCCCCTTTGGAGGCTGCGGACTGTTGCTATTAATATTACTTGGTAATTTATATTTATATAATGCCATTAGTGTATTGGCACTTTGTAAGCATCTAGGAAACAAGGCTCCTGTCCTAAGGAACTTAAGCCATGATTCTCATTTACACAGTAAATGTAATTAATGCCTACCTTAAGGCCCCTTTACATTGCCAGAATTGAGTTCAGAGGCCTTAGCCCAAAAGAGAACCAGTCCCTTACAATCTAACCTAGATATACTTATCCAATGGAGCTATGCCACTACATCTACCACAACTGCTGTGGATCTGTCCTATTATACATACCACAACAGGTGACAGTTCAACTGCAAAGCAGTGCTGACCGCAAGAGAGAGGAGATCAGTGTTGGAAACTTTCATGAAATCATGTATTAAGGGGGGATTTCAAAGGAGAAAGGGAGGTTGATTGGTGCATGAGGCGTGGGAGGCTGCCCCAATCCAGGGGGCAGTATAAAAAGTTACAAAGCCAAGAGTGCAAGGTGGGAGGTAGGCTGGAGAAATGCACAGGGAAGGAGGGTGGGGAGAACATTTAGTAAGAGGTCGGAGGAAATGCGAAGAGAGACATAAGTATGAGCAGATTGGATCTACATACTTCCCTTTTTCCCACTCCCACCCTGACCTTCCATCAAAGGAGAGTTAGATATGGCTATGTCTGGAGAGGGGCAAAATTGCCACCTTTAAGTCTGTTACTTAGTGGTCAGAGAGGTTGAAGTGTTCTCCTACTGGTTTTTGAATGTTATGATTCCTGATGTCAGATTTGTGTCCATTTATTATTTTGCATAGAGACTGTCCGGTTTGGCCAATGTACATGGCAAAGGGGCATTGCTGGCACATGATGGCATATATCACATTGGTAGATGTGCAGATGAATGAGCCCCTGATGGCGTGGCTGATGTGATTAGGTCCTATGATGATGCCACCTTTTCATGTTCTCTGTATGTATATATATCTCCTTACTATATGTTCCAATCTATGCATCCGATGAAGTGGGTTGTAGCCCACGAAAGCTTATGCTCAAATAAATTTGTTAGTCTCTAAGGTGCCACAAGTACTCCTGTTCTTTTTGCGGATACAGACTAACACAGCTGCTACTCTGAAACCTAAATCTACTGATATACCAGCATAACCATACACCCCTGAGTATACTACTCACACATATAGTACCATACATGTGCATATGTAAAGGCTAAGAGATTGTCATTTGCACCAGTGCCCCTTTTATACCACTCCGTCAATATAAAGGGGCATTAAAGTGGGCTTATGTTATCTTTAAACCCATTTTAAGGTCCTTTACATTGCCAGAGAAGTGTAAAGCGGCTTTGATGTAAAAAGAATCAGGCCCTAAATAATTACAAACATATATAGTACATTCACATACATAACACAGTATAATTACCTACAGACCTGGAAAGGCCTAATCACATCTAAACAAAGCCCTAAGAATCTTTTAAAAGCCATTTTGCTTCATGAGTGACAGAGATATGATACCCTGCCTTTTTCCTGGAAATGGGAAAGTGTGCTATCTTTAGGGTGAGGGTTTTCCAAAGCATCCTCCACCATAGTATCTAAGCACTGGGAAGAATAGGTTCTGGAGGACTTTTGAGGGCCAGGTGGATTGAGAGGAAGGAGGGCGGACAATGTGGGCATCCAAAAGCTTCAGGTAAGTTTGGATAAAGTTCAGACGAACAACCAAACATTTGGATGCTTATCTGATTTAAATGTATGAGCCTTCTGAGATATGCCCCTCCATTTTAGCACGGTTCTGTGACTCTAAGCAAAATAATACTATAAACTGAAAAAGTTATAATACATTACACTGTGTGTGTCTGTCTTGTGGATATTGTTTAAATAGCTTACACTGAAATCACCTCATGATAGTATATTTGATTTGTTTCTGCTGTGGTATCTTTAAATCCCATTGAAAAACCTTCAAGCAAAGCTCATGATCTTGAGCCTTCCATCACCATGGTACACAGCTAATAATTTTTTAAAGCCAGTAGGGACCATTAGGTCATCTAGTCTTACCTCTTGTATAACAGAGGCCATAGACTTTCATCCAGTTAAATTCTCTCTCTTCACTTTACAACAATTAAAAAGAATCATGTGGGACTGAAACAAAACGTTTAGTTTATGAGGTGCCACTGGGCTAAAAACCTCAGGCCCTGATACTGTTCTCAGTGATACTCATATACACATAGAATTCCAGTGAAGTCCAGATTCACACCAGCAAATCTGGCCCCAAATGTCCTAGTTTCATAGACATTTAAAACAGTTTTAAGTGGGAGTTTGGGACATTGCAAATTAGTTTCAAGCATCAAATAATAACTATTCCTCTGCTGCATGCACAGGAAAGCATGTGTTGCTGAAGGTAAGGATATAAGCCGCCTACCTTGGGGGGCAGGGCTCCAGATTACAGGCTTTCAGTAGCTGTGGAGGACGGCGGCTGGTCACACACAGAGTTTCATCTGCAATCTCTCTTGTCTGTTTGTTCAAGCAAGTCACGACAGCCTCCTGGACACCTGCATACAACATTCCGGTCAGGACTCAGTGCATAGAACCCAAGGGGTGATGAAGTGCAGACATGGCACCTGCAGAGGTCCTGCTAAATTGCTGTGGGGGCCTCTGCACATGAGAAAATACAGTTTGATACTCAGGACGATCAATGGAGCCAGTTCAGACATTGCTGACAAACCTGCAGATGGGGGCAAAGGGAGGGGCTCCCACGCCCGATGAGCTGATTGATATGCTAGCGTGAAGTTTTGCTGCTCACGCTCTACAGCCATGTAGTGTGCAGGGCGAGGTGTTCCATGCTGACTGGCAGCTCAATGAGGACACTAACTTGAGCACCTAAAGACTAGGAATGTCTCTCCTGGCATGTTGGCCCTGAGTGACTGGGGTGAATCACAGGCCTCCACTCCCTTTTGTTTTAACAGGAAACCTCCACCTACAATTCCTGTAACTCTCCAGAAACAAACACGCCTCTGGCCACATTCACCATTGCCTCTCCTTTCCTCCTGTTCCCCACCTATCTGAAGGTAGGGTGACCAGATGGCCTGATTTTGTAGGGACGGTCCCGGTATTCGGGGCTTTGTCTTATATAGGCACTTGTTACCCTCCACCCCGGTCATGATTTTTCACACTTGCTATCTGGTCACCCTACATGAAGTTCCAATTAAATAACTAAAAAGGAGGCCCCAGCTTTGCTTCAATCAGCCATTGCTGTCAGTCTCATAAGAAAACTTTATGTGGGTGACAAATTCCTTGGTCCCCCACCTTCCACAGGTGTCACTGAAACAAGCAGAAGCAAAAAACAAATGTCCTTCTAACACTGAAACAATGAATGCAACCATACTGCATACCAGCCAAGGCAGCGATGTGATCATTCAATTAAGAGTGGGTGTGGTGTTAAAGATGGCCCATTTATATGTTATATTTTAAGCAGCAACAGGATTGTTCTAGGTGCACAAAAAAAAGGGATATGATAATATTCAACATTTGTGAACAATAGCTGTTGTCAGACTGCCGCATCCAGAGACTAGAACTCTAACTTGCACTCCCCTAAATCCAGCGGCGGCTCCAGGCACCCGCGCTCCAAGCGCGTGCCTGGGGCGGCAAGCCGCGGGGGGCACCCTGCAGGTCCCTGCGAGGGCGGCAGTCAGGCAGCCTTCGCCGGCATGCATGTGGGAGGTCCACTGGTCCCGCGGATTCAGCAGCGGTACGCCAAATCCGCAGGACCGGGGACCTCCTGCAGGCATGCCACCAAAGGCTGCCTGACTGCCGTGCTTGGGGCGACGAAAAAGCTAGAGCTGCCCCTGCCTAAATCTAATCTGGACACTGGTCATGCAGGGGAGTAAGGCACCTTGGAGAGTTGGAATGAAGGCAGGGAACAGAGCAGAAGCAGCTGTGGGAACTAACCAGGAGGAAGTATAGTCCTGTGATTAAGGTGATGGACTGGAACTCAGGAGTAAAGCTTGGTGAATAAAGCATTTTTGACTTTGCTGGACATTTCAAAGAATCAAAAGAAATTTGCTTTGGATCAGGCTGCAAATGATTTTTTTTTTTTTTGGCAAATTGAAAAGTTAAAAAAAATTGTGGGGCAAACAAAATATTTTGTTTTGCTTCCAATCATTTAAAAACTTTTTACAATTTTTAAAAATAAAATGGAAATTTTGAAACAAGTCGTTTCAAACAGAAAAATCAAAATATCTATTTTTGAAGGTTTTTTTTCAAAATGAACAATTCTGTGAAATTTACATAAACTCACAAAATGTTTTGGTGTCACCAAATCTGCATTTTTCACCTAAACAAATTTTTGGATGAAAAATTTCACCCAGGTCTACTCAGGAGATCTAAGTTCTGTTCCCAGTTCTGCCAGCTTCTGACTGTGCTTTGTGACAAAGTTCCTCCTCTACCTTGGTGGGTCCTGTGCTTATTGGCGGATTTGCTCACCTCAAAGATTTTCCTCTCTGGTGGAACCCACAGTCCAGGTCAACCCGGGCCCGCCCTCTACTCCGGGTTCCAGCCCAGGGCCCTGTGGACTGCAGCTGTCTATAGTGCCTCCTGTAACAGCTGCATGACAGCTACAACTCCCTGGGCTACTTCCCTATGGCCTCCTCCAAACACCTTCTTTATCCTCACCACTGGACCTTCTTCCTGGTGTCTGATAACCCTTGTACTCCTCAGTCCTCCAGCAGCACACCCACACACTCTCAGCTCCTTGCGCCTCTTGCTCCCAGCTCCTCACACACGCACCACAAACTGCAGTGAGCTCCTTTTTAAACCCAGGTGCCCTGATTAGCCTGCCTTAATTGATTCTAGCAGCTTCTTGATTGGCTGCAGGTGTTCTAATCAGCCTGTCTGCCTTAATTGTTTCCAGAAAGTTCCTGATTGTTCTGGAACCTTCCCTGTTACCTTACCCAGGGAAAAGGGACCTACTTAACCTGGGGCTAATATATCTGCCTTCTATCACTTCCCTTTGTTTAGCCCTATGACTTCACTCCCGTTCCTGTTTTTTTCATTAGTTGTCCCGCGTATTTATTTGGTATCACGGACCTGTGGATCCTCCCCTTAGGCTGGGGGGAGGTCCTTTCGCAGTGGGCAGGCTTCGCCCGCCCACTTCCTGGATCCCAATAGGATCACTTCCCTTTGGTTAGCCCTATGACCTCACTCCCGTTCCTGTTTTTTTCATTAGTTGTCCCCCGTATTTATGCCCCATAAAGCACAGCTCTATAGTATGCAGGGGATATAGACAGGAGTGGGCTGCTAGAGTGGTGCACATGCCCATTCCAGGTGTGCACAGGACTTCAGGAGCTACACCATTCCCAGGTGTTCAGGTTGCAGCACAGTGAGCTGGGGCAAGGAGAGAGAGAAGGAAATCCGCCTCTTACTGAATATTTACATCACATGGGACACTACTGAAATCCCCAAAGTCAGCCAATATCATTGTGGGGTTTTCCCCCTACCAGATGACCCAGAGAATGGTATTTATAAACACAATATTTTGTTAGTGGGACACTTAGAATAGCCCCCTAAGATGATTCTATTTGATTTTTAAAAATAAAACAATAGCTGATTGAGAGATTAAAACAAATGTCAGTGATTTATTTGTATGAAGGGAAACCAAACAAATTCCCTACATGTTCCCTACCTCTAAATGTTCAATAACTTTCTAACCAGGTCACTTTTCTGCTGAAAGCATTATCATATGCTCTAAAGAGAACACTGTTTTGACCATCCAAGGGTGTTACAACTACTGTCTGAATAGTAGAGAAGGTCTTCTAATCAAAGTAAAGCATCATTGTGCTCAGGACATTGGGCAGTTCTTTGAGGTGGTTTCTTGTACAGACTTAACCGTACAGAGTGTATTATGTGAAAGCAACAATCAAGGTGAGAAGGGGCTGCCAATCAATGCGGATGGAAACCAGAGAAAATGGCAACCTCCTATGAAATGAAATCAATGAGTTTCACAGAGCTCTCTGACAACTGGCTAGAGCAGAGGTGGGCAAACTACAGCTCGTGGAACCATCCTGCCCAGCCCCCGAGCTCCTGGCCCAGGAGGCTAGCCCCCGGCCCCTCCCTTACTGTCCCCTTACCCCGCAGCCTCAGCTCGCTTGCTCCGCCGCCGGCGCAATGCTCTGGGCGGCGGGGCTGTGAGCTCCTGGGGCAGCGCAGCTGCAGAGCCCGGCCTGACCCGGTCTCTGTGCTGCATGGCGACGGTGGCGGCGTGGCCCGGCTCCAGCCGGCTGGCACGGCTGTAGTGCTGCCAGCCACCAGTGCTCCAGGCAATGTGGTAAGGGGGCAGGGAGGTTGGATAGAGGGCAGGGGAGTTCAGGGTGGTGGTCAGGGGGCGGGGGTGTGGCTAGGGGTCGGGGTGGTCAGGGGAGGAACAGGGGGTTGAATGGGGACAGGGGTCCCGGGGGGGGCAGTCAGGAAGGAGGGGGGGTTGGATAGGGTGGCAGGGGGTAGACAGGGGCAGAGGTTCTGGGGGCGGTCAGGGGACAGGGAGAAGGGGTGGTTGGATGGGGCAGGTGTCCCGGGGGGGCCGTCAGGAATGAGAGGAGGGGTTGGATGGGGTGGTGGGGATCCGGTCAGGGGACAGGGAGCGGGGGTGTGTGGATGGGGCAGGGGTCCCAGGGGGGGCGCAGATAGGAGGTGGGGGCCAGGCCACAACTCCCTCCCCTAACCAGCCCTCCATACAATTTATGAAACCTGATGCGTCCCTCAGGACCAAAAAGTTTGCCCTCCCCTGGGCTAGAGATAGGCCTGGACCACAACTGTGATAGGAAACACCTTCAAATTTTCAGATGTAGATTTTGCAGCTAAAGTCCATCTCTACTATTTATTTTGATCCGGTAGCTTCAGTACCTCGTTGTGGCTTCCCCATGTAGGAGTTTCACAAATAAATTGCTGTCTAATGTTATGTGCAACATAAAAGTGTTAGCATTTTCACTGTGCTTGCCTTGGATTTGTAATCCACAAGTAGTCTAATTCTGAAGGTGCTGAGTCTAATCCCTCTCCCCAATCCTCCCTGCAATTGAGGAGTCTCTACAGCTCTCAGGATCAATCTCTTAGGCTACTCTTTACTGTACAGTATTTTTTTTAAACTTCCAGGCCCTGTTTGCATCTCCTCCTTGCTTATTCAATCCATCTAAATTGTCTCTCAGTGTATGTCCAGTAGCTTTACTGTCTATCCTGCAAGGATACCACCCCACTCATTAGAAAGCTTGCTAACTTTTTAAGAGATTCCAGATTTTATTTCAAAACAGTTATGTCAATGAAGGGTGAAGTGTTTGAAACTTACTACTAAACATCCCCTACCCATATGCTGTAACGCTGACAGCAGGTTTCAGGGGGTAGTTCATTTGTATTTTGCTGCAACAGGCCATTGCAAATCTAAAGTCATGTCAATATCAAAATATTTAGCATGAACTGAGGACATATTTAGTAGCATGTTCAATTACAGTTGACTGGCAATGCCAACAGAATGTTTAAATTAATATTCCAACATATACACTATCATAACAGATGTACCCAAATATTCAAGATGTGTTGGATGCAATCTCAGAACCTTCCAACAATTATCCAAGATAGGAACAGACTCAGTTATTATTTATTGCTTGTATTTGCCATCTAAGATGCCTACAAGCCAACAGCATTATGATAACTTTGTAAGTTGCACCGTACAACTTCTAGGGTTAAACCCTCCCCCTGCTACACAGACACATATAGTGGCAGAAGGGGTGTAAGAAGTCAAAATGCAGTGTGGAAATTGTGGTGCTCATGATGTGGACTGGATACAACATCTAGTCATAATGCACAAACTTGAACTGGCATTCCCCCCGCCCTCTCCTAATATGATGGGACAGGCACCAGAGACACAGGGGTCATGATTATTCAAGCAGGGAGCATGGCTAGCACTCAGTCCAGCAGACATGATTTCTGACACCATCAGCAAGTGCAAACAGCAAATACATGTCACAGCACAGTATGCTGGCCCTATTGTTAACACCTTGCCCGATGATTGCAGGATGTCTCTTGCCTGCCCTGTACAGGTCTGGCTCTCAGGCTGACTGCATTTTGCTGCCACAGGGAGGATTTGGATTTGGTCTTGGGAAATAAAAAAATCTCTATCTTTCTAATGAAAATGAAGAGTTCCCAAAGGAACGCATTGCAAACTGGAATTTTTTTTTAAAATTGTTTTTATCGCTATGCGTGAAAAGCTGATTTCTCAATATAAATGTTATAGGCTAAATTCACTGGTGTGATCCTACTGATGTGAGTTACCACAGTAGTACAAAAGAGCTGGAAACCTGGTTCAACTGGCACTAGGGGGACACTCCGAATATAGGGGACTTCCAGTGGCACAGGACCACCATAGTGGTTCTAACATGACCTGCCATCTTGTCTGCCAGCATAAGTGTTGTGGAAAACGGGGGTGGTGGCTAAGGAGCCCCTGAGTCCATCTAGTCCCTGGATGCCAGATTGACTCCTGAAGGCTATGGTCATAGGGTACAGGCTGCAGTAACTCGTGCCAGGAACCAAACAGTCTTCTGGCTTGGCCCAGCATCAGGGGAACATAAAGGTGGCTCAAAACAACTTTTGCCTGCCCACCTCTCCCCTCAGTCTCACACTTAAGTGTGTCTCAGCAGGCTAAAATAAACTGTCCCTATATTTTGGGTAGGCCAATGCATGTAATTGAAGACAAGTTTTAAATCAATACAAGAACCATTGCTTATGTCCTCCAATATTCTTCTTCCATTACCTGTCAGAAACTGTGCAGGAAAGTACTAATAAAAAAATAAGAAAAGGCTGCTCCTTCCACTTTCCAGAGGACACTTGATTGAGGTTCACTTCTAAATATTATTTATCACACAACATTTCACCATAATGAACCTGTCCTGCTTCAAACTGTTTTCTTTCAAAATACCTATCAGTTCATGAATCGGAAATTAAAATGTAACAGGGTACGGGGGTGGGACATGAATCTAAGAAGTTTAAATTCACTTTCAATATACCATCAAATGGGATTTTCTATGTTTATATCTACCAGAATAGCATAATTGTTACATGATATTTGATGACAGCTCTGGGAAATGCAGCCACTAACGGCAGACGAAATTACTAACTAGTTCCTTCTGGTTGCTACCTCTCCAAGGTGAAAGGTTACTTCTATGTCTATCCAATTTCATCTCCTGAGAGTACAAAACCAATAAAATTAGCTTGACCTGTCTTGCAACTGTAGCTACAAAAATTTTGATTTAGAATCTATTTTTTAATCTGGCATATTTTTGGTTGACCATATAATAAATAAATAAATAAATCTCCCAGCTAACCATTGTTGATAATCAAAAGATCTTAAATTGGTAAAGCAAAGTATTTCCGTCATAATAATTTATGTATGTTATGTATGTTCTATATGAAAATGCATACACATATATACACTGTATGTATTGAAATTGTTTCTTTTCTGTTCAAGCGGACATTGCTTGAGCTATTCAAGATTCCAGGTTCAAAATACAAGCATTACAAATCATTATTGGCCAGTCAGACTCAAAATACAGTGGTTGCTATTAAAAAGTCAGCATTTGCCTCTAGTCAACATGCACTGGTATAACTAGTTATAATTAGAACAAGAAATAATGGTGGTAATTGTTGGAAAACTGTACGTTAACTGCAATCAAATGCCAGCTACTGTAGCCAGCAATATATAAGCACTTTGCGATATGCTTTGTATCCTTTACTATCTTCTGGAACCTTTTTCTATTGTATTTGACTGCTGGAGGATCAATATTTAGCCAACTATTAAACTTCAATCCACTACTAACTTCTTTCCAATTCTGCAATATCATTCCTATTTAATACAGAAAATTGATTCTTTTAGCCATATTATTTATCTGCATTCTTTTGTAAGCAGCCTGAAAATTGCCTTTAAAAGGGCAGCAGCTGGGAAAGCCTAGGGTTTTAAACAATTGCAATGGGAAAATTTTTCAGAACCAACTGGACAAAAGATAGCATAAACTCAAATTAATACTATACAATGTGTAAATAATTATCATAATATTCAGAACCTTTGACTTTCATCAACTTTTAGACTCTCCAAATGCAAAGTCTGTTAAGCTTTAGGCAATCGAATGGTTGGCTATTTTTGCCATATGTTTTCTTTTTGCACTGGGATCCAAGTTAACGTCAGATGGTAGCATAAGCTACAGAAACCAGCTGAGCCCCCAGTAGTTCAGTAAGCAAATGGATCTGCAGTGGCAGAACGATTTGGTTCTGTATGTCTGTGCATATATGACCATGTCAAGAGACAAGCACAAAAAATGATGCTAATTCGTCTCACTAGACTGCTTTATGTTATTCTTCCTTGTGTGAATAAAAAATGTGAGTCATCAAGAACGAAATGTAAACAGCAGTATTAGCTGCATTAATCATTCACAGCTGAGAGCATGAGCATGGCATTTGATACTCAATGGGCCCAAATGGGAAATACATGTAGTTTACTCTTAATAGCTTTCCACTGAAGCCTTTTTTATTCTTCAAACAGACGTAGCAAAGCCGTCTTTTAGACAGTGTGCATTGCAAAGCACTGTATACCGAAAAAGGGGAAAACAAATTAACCAGAGCAAAAAGCAAATTGCCCTCACCTCCTCCACAGGATTCTGAGCATTCCGTAAAGCCCTCGTATTCCCAGTCATAGAGTTCATCAAAATCCTGGAGGCCCCCATAGATCAGTTCGGTTTCCTCAGGGTTAGATTCAGCAGCCTCCCCACTGCAGGGGCCGCTGTAACAGGCTCGCTGTGATGCAGGTTTGGGACCTTCACATTCGTCGATAGGCAGGTCAGCCACAGACTGCGAGAAAGACAGCAGCACCTGACACTTCACAGGCCGCACCTGGCTGCCCACCCCACATGTGACACTACAGGCAGACCAGGCCTCAGGAATAAACCTATGGTAAGCAAGAGAAAGGGCAAAGTAAGCAGCAATGTCCAAGATAATTGGGCAGCATCCCTTGTCCAGTGGTTGCAGAAAACATCATGATTTGTCTGGGAAACAAGTGTTTCATTTCATCATACAAGTACTTCTGTAAAGTGCTCATCACAGCCATACGTCTTCAACACCTTACGGTTCTTAGGGCAAAACTCAGTATAATTCTAATGTCTCTCTCACCCCCTTCCTCTCTCCTCTGATCAACACACACAGCATTCAGAATCCCAGATGTGAGAAATGAAAGACACCTATTACATCATCTAGTCCATTTATACCTAAATATATATAATGCACAAGCAGACCAAAAAAAAAAAAATACTATGTTACAGCATCTTGGAGCCCTTTGGAAATGGGAGTTGCTATACAAATACCATCTATTATTATATAATTTCACCATGCTCAGCAGCTGATAAGGCAAATACTGGAAATAACTTCAGGAATTTATATTTTTTTCCAGCTTCCTAGACCCATCTTTTACATTATGAGTTCTAGGTCTGGAAGGATAGGTTTCCTCTACTATAATCACTGACCTCAAAAGCACATAGGAATTTGGTGGAGCTGAAAACAAAAAAACCCATACATGGGTTGCCATTAGAAATACATTTACTAACAGCAACCTCGTAATAGTATCAAAGTTTCTCCGTACACTAAAACCAGGAAATAATGATGGGCTTTCAGATACTGTTGTGTAGTTATCATTGGTGAATGTTACTTACTGACTAGTGCAAAATCTCACAAGCATGGGAATGCAAAGTTTTTCTGATTGGTCTATACCTAACATACCTATCTTTGCTGACACGATGTGCTTTTCTGTGTATGAGTGACAGAGTCTATCTTGCAGACTTGAGGTAATGGAGCAGATTTACCAAGCAGCAGTTACCCTAGGAAATAAGAAGCAACTGTGGTGTTTCAGAGCCTATGCTGTGGTAACTACTGGTAAATGTTGCCTTCTCAATTGTGTTCACAATAATAATAATCAGTAATTCCCTAGAAGTCTGAATCATGGACCAGGACTCCATTGTGCTAAGCTCTATAAAAAGACGGTTCCTGCTTAATTCTAAATATTTTAATGAATTAATACAAAATGCTTTCCAAACTTGCTACTTAAGTAACACAAACAAAGAGAACACTTCTCTGGCACTGGTGCATTGCTCTGTCATATCTAAGGTAATTTTCTCCCTTCCTCTGTGCAGCAAAAGTGATGCTGCTTCTTTCCCGAAGCAACAAGGGTGTTGGCCTGCCCTCCCAAATGGATTCCGGGGAGATGTCCTTTCTTCTTCTCTTCCCAAGCCGCTTTTTAAGAGGACTCACTCACTTACTCTTTCAGGGGACCCACTATTAAGAAGAGAAGGGAAAACTGGAAGGAGGGCACTTGGTGACCTTGTTCTGTTATGACTGACCTTAGAGTGTCCGTTGTTACTGAATGGCTGGAACACAGTTGACATTATGGAGCCCAGCTGTGGGAAAGTCTGAAGGATGCCACTGTCTGCCACCCCCCAGCGGGCGTCTCTCTATCAGTGGCACTGACAAGCCAGTAAAAGGGGAGGGGTTGGGATCAAAAGTGGAATACTTGACAAAGAAAAATATGAGTTAAAAATAAATGGTTCTTGTAAAGAAAGCCATGTACTTGTTCCTTTTAGCTGCAGACACTCATCTGGTGGGCCACACAGCCTTCTCATATTACAAGAGTTTTCTAGGCTCCCTTGCAATGTGACTGACCCTGTATTTAAAAGAGGCAGTGTGTTATGATTTCTTAGTTGCTGCTGTTGGGCATAGTGCACAGGACCTATTTCAGCTGAAAAGATTTTTGCTGTACCAGTTAGTATGTACGCAAGGTTCATAAAAATGTAATAAATACAGCATGCCAAACTGCACGCCAGTACGCTGAATGAACCCAGCACCATTGACTTCAATGGATTTACTCTGGATTGATGAGATTTTGGCTCATTGGTTCTGTAACATAGCTAACAAACCTTGATGAAAATATATTTTAAGGAAATGTGGGAATTAAAACAAAAACAACATAGAACATGGATTTGTAAGGCAATCAATAAAAGTGGGCCAAATGTTCAAAGGTCCCACCATCTGGCCTTCAGTTTGCACATACAATCAGTTGCATGTGCAAGTGAAGAGTGCTTGTATGTGAAAACCCAGCTGTGCATGCCAATTGGATACAAATCCATTTACCTACTTCGTGTATATAAGCAATGTTTGCACATATAGGCTTTTGCATGCAGAAATAATTGCACCTGCCAAATTGTGGACACCAGAATCTTTTTGAAAATAGGTCCTCATTAAATTCAATTTTAATTTTTCCAGACTCATACTCAAAACACAAGATGTCAGCTCGCTTGCTGTCTCATGTGGTATGATGCATGGTATTTTATATCTCTCCCTCTTAGTTTAGACAGCATGATCTAAGATCTTCTATAATTACATAAGGGAATTTATTTCAAAATTCAATATGATTGGCATTTAGAATGTGGCTTTTCAGCTAAAGATCATCTCATTTATAAAAACAACATAATGGACTTTGCTATTTTAAACAGATATTGGTGGTGAGAACATCCATACTTTGTTTTGGCATGAAATGATCATATTAATTTAACTTTAAAACTCTCCAGAGGGCAGCTGAGCAGCAGTGCATACTTTGCTTTGTGAAAGTAGCTGCAGGGAAACTGGTGAAGTGGGAGGCTGAAACATACAGCCTGATCCAACATTCACAGTCAACTCATGACTTCAGTGGACACTGGATGAGACCCACAGCTGGCCCTGTTGTCTTTATGGGGAGATCCAGACCATTCCATTTGACTGTACATGCCATGGGCACTGCTCCTTGAGAATCTGCCTATCCACAGGTATATTATGAAGAATCAGAATGAATATTGATTGACAGAACATACATGATCTAATGGGCATGGTGAAAACCTCTTCTCCCCTTCTTCACTGCCACTCTTCCATCTGTTCCCTTATGCTTCCTTTTGTTCCTTTCTTAAGATGCTATTTACATTTTTTAAATCTTCTTTGGGTTACTCTGAGGTTTAGCTAAAGATCTGGGTGCTCAGAACCTTTGAAAAAAATCACAGGTGTCAATTTAGACACCCAAAAAATCAAGACATCCCAAAGCACTTTCAATTGAATGTAATATTTTTCTTCACACTGGGTCACACCATTTTGTAGTCTCAGTATTTAGTGTTAAACATTTACTGTTTTTCTCCCCAGTGGTGGAAATAGCAATTCTGATATACAGTATGTACATATTATACATGTTAACTCCCTAAGGCACTGCAGGATTCTTCTACATGAAAAGACACAAACATTATCTAATGTTAGTTTAACACATTTATGATCTTTTATGCAGCGGCACTTATAGCCTAATTGGATATGATTAAACCCCAATAGGGGAAGAAGTTTTCCCTGTTTTTGCTTCTTCTTCTGTTTCCTGAAATTGATGGAGAGAAGCACTGAAAGACTGGTCATAACATAAGAACATAAGAAAGGCCGTACCGGGTCAGACCAAAGGTCCATCTAGCCCAGTATCCTGTCTACCGACAGTGGCCAATGCCAGGTGCCCCAGAGGGAGTGAACCTAACAGGCAATGATCAAGTGATCTCTCTCCTGCCATCCATCTCCACCCTCTGACAGACAGAGGCTAGGGACACCATTCCTTACCCATCCTGGCTAATAGCCATTAATGGACTTAACCACCATGAATTTATCCAGTTCTCTATTAAACTCTGTTATAGTCCTAGCCTTCACAACCTCCTCAGGTAAGGAGTTCCACAAGTTGACACTGCGCTGCGTGAAGAAGAACTTCCTTTTATTTGTTTTAAACCTGCTGCCTATTAATTTCATTTGATGACCCCTAGTTCCTGTATTATGGGAATAAGTAAATAACTTTTCCTTATCCACTTTCTCCACATCACCCACGATTTTATATACCTCTATCATATCCCCCCTTAGTCTCCTCTTTTCCAAGCTGAAGAGTCCTAGCCTCTTTAATCTCTCCTCATATGGGACCTGTTCCAAACCCTTAATCATTTTAGTTGCCCTTTTCTGAAACTTTTCTAGTGCCAGTATATCTTTTTTGAGATGAGGAGACCACATCTGTACGCAGTATTCGAGATGAGGGCGTACCATCGATTTATATAAGGGCAATAATATATTCTCAGTCTTATTCTCTATCCCCTTTTTAATGCTTCCTAACATCCTGTTTGCTTTTTTGACCGCCTCTGCACACTGCGTGGACATTTTCAGAGAACTATCCACGATGACTCCAAGATCTTTTTCCTGACTTGTTGTAGCTAAATTAGCTCCCATCATATTGTATGTATAGTTGGGGTTATTTTTTCCAATGTGCATTACTTTACATTTATCCACATTAAATGGTCCTGTTGGTAACATTTGTATGTGTCATTACTGCCATCTTGCTCAGTCAATATATTTGGCAAAAATAATTAAAAAATCATATATTTAGTATTTTTAGTCTAAGTCGGAACAACTTTTAGTTCACTTTTTAACCTGCTAACTAGTCAATTTCTATGTATAAATATCTAAAAGATGCACTATTTTAATAGGAAAAATGGGATAAACTATATATGGATGTTTGCATACACAAAAATCTTATTTAAAACTGTGAAATGGTGCTTAGGTGACTCTGGTACACTGGGCTTTCTGCCGGTGTGCAATTTCCTGTGAGTTCTGTTCACACAGATGCATGTCAGGAATTTCCTTTTGTTTCTTACTGATTCAGCCCCATCACTAAGCTGGTGCCATCTGGCATCCAGATATTATTGTTTGCCCTCTGTTTTTTATGGCTCACACCAGGGTTATTTATGGCAACATGTTAAAAGCTGGGTATCATGTTAACATACAAAAGTGTTTTTCAAGAGTTACACAGCAAAAAAGCCCCCTTCCCAACAAAACCAATCTGATTAATAATAGAGCATCCCATACCTT